CGAAATCCCGACGTTCGAAATCCCGACTGTTCAAAATCCCGACATATTGAAATCCCGACTATGTCAAAATCCCGACTACCATAATCCCGACAATCAAAATCCCGACTATATCAAATCCCGACTACCATAATCCACAATCAAAATCCCGACTATATCGAAATCCCGACTATATCGAAAATCCCGACTATATCAAATCCCGACTATATCGAAATCCCGACTACCATAAAAATCAACAATCAAAATCCCGACTATATCGAAATCCCGACTATGTCAAAATCCCGACTACCATAATCCCGACAATCAAAATCCCGACTATATCGAAATCCCGACTACCATAAATATGATAATCAAAATCCCGACTATATCTAAATACCAATTATGTGAAAATCGCGACTACTATAATCAAAACAATCAAAATCCCGACTATATCGAAATCTCGACTATGTTAAAATCCCGACTACCATAATCCCAACAATCAAAATCCCGACTACCATAAAAATGTTATTGTAGAAATTATAATAATAAAAGACACTGTCGGGATTTCGATACAGTCGGGATTTTTATTGTTGGGATTTCAATAGACTGTCTTTCGGTTGTCGGTCTTACGATTGCCACCGGAAATAAATGTAAAGAGAGGGCGAAGAAATGAGCTGCAGATTTATAGTGACATCTGGTGGAAACTTCTAAAAACTTATAGTACAACCATTTGTGCGCTGTTCTAATTGGAATATCATAATTGAAACCTTTTCTATAATTACTAATTACAGAAATGTTTATAGAACTATTGATTTGTTTCAGTCATAATTAATCTAGTTGTGTATAATTAATTGATGTGGTTCAGCACCACCTACTTGCAGTTATATGAATATTTCAAATTTGAAATTATTAATTCTAGAATAATTAAAATTGTTTTTTTTTATTGTAAGATTTGTAATTTTGTACTGAATATAAAGCAACTATTTGATATTTAAATACAAGGTTGAATATATTATAAATTGGTAAAGAAACAATAGTTCATTTGAATGATTGATTAAAATATTTAAATTAAATTAAAATTTCCCAAATTAAACCATTTATTATATAAACCGAAAGCATTTGCGTTTGAATAATCGAAATAATAAAAGGAATTCGAAACTTACATTAAACTGATTGAATAATTATATATTATTGCTCGTCGTTACGTGTACAAACTTGGAAGAGAATAAAGAATTGTACAGAATAGAAGAAGGAAGAAAGAGCATGCAAAATCGTTTCCAGGCAAGAAAATGCAATGTATATTAAACAAAAATAATAAACAAGAGTAGAAACAAACAGAAAACAAAAGAAGATATCTTCCAAGACAACAATATTTTATTCAATTGCAACGCATACTTAATATTAAAACAGAATCGAAATAAATTATTGTTGCATTTCTTATAGGAAATTCAAGTAATTTTAAATATATAGTAGTGTAACAGGAAATGAAAAGTAAAAAGTAACTCAAAATCCCAGCTCAAAAGAAAAAGTAATGGGTTCAAAAATAAAAGATATTTTTCGATCTCTTTTAATTGCAAAATAAAACAAAAAAGATGCTCAACGCGCACATAAACTTCGCCCACCGTCGAAGAAGAACAACAAATTTTAAAGAAAAGAAAATTAAACAACAAATACAACAACAAAATAAGAACAGGTTGTTAATTTTTTTTTGTTTCTCAAATAATGTATGATTTGTTTTACATATACATTTAACGTGGATGACGCGCGTTAACTAAAAGAAGAGAAGAAAGAGTTCAAGATAATGTACAACAGGTTTTGAACCAGAAAATAATGAACTACACGTATTCACACACACAAAAAAAAAATGTTTTCAGAAACCCGATGAAACACCAAAAACCAAAATAAAGTGTTCTATAATATATATTTTTTTTTTATCAACAATCGATTGTTTTTAAAACATAGTAATTTAAAAATAAAGAGTACAGAGAAAAATGTGTTCAAAGGTGGCGGTGGAAACAAAATTGCATATTTTGGAGCGATTTCAAAGTTGACCTGATTTTGGTGAAATAACTATTTTTTAGGATTTAATGAGAGAAGTAGAAACAAAACCTTTTTTTTTGGGACCGGTTCTTCTTGAGAGGATCTTTTTCTTCCGCTTACTTTGCGGCGTTACCTTCTTCTTCGATATATATATTCAATGCTTGTGTATATATTTAAATAAGGTACCCAACACTCTTACAGCCACAATGCTTAGCTTCATATTCTTTATATATATCCTTCAAATAAATATATCGATTGACTATCCTAGGCAATAATAATTAGTAATAGAAGGAAAAGAAAACCCGAGATGGAGAGTCCCTCCTCCTCTTTTGGTTGCTGCCCCGAAAGACACACCCTCCTCCTTATCCTCACCACCAGTCGATGCGTTCTCTCCACAGCTTGTCTCGAAGACTAAGAAATTGTTCGTACACACTGTCCATATCATGATCACTAATTCTCTAAACCTCACTCCCGCGTCGTCTCTCCATATTTATAAATATTCACAAACTCTTTAAGAACATCGACGAATCTCCACCAAACGAATTTTTTTTAAAAAATACAAAATAAAAACCATTACAACCCATCTCAGAAATTCTTTTAAATAATTACGTCCATACAATCATTATGTATACAAAATAATATTATATATAAGCAAAATAAAAATTATAGAAGAGAAAACTAAAAAAACAACAAAAAATAATAATAATAATAAATGATATGGGGAGCGGCGGCGGCGGCGGTTTTCCTCGTTATTTAAAAAAAAAAGTTTTTTGGGGGGGCGTTCAATGGGGGGTGTGTGTGGGTTATATCTTCATTTGTTTTATAGATATCATACAAAGTGTGTCTTTCATGTTATGTTTTTTTTGTTTGCTTTTAAATATTTTTATATATATATAGTTAAGAGATTTTGTTTCTTAATCCTTACATCATCCTCAGGCTAAAGAGAAGAGATCAAGGGAGCTTAAACGCTTTCAGTAAATATGAATTACGTGAACGAGAATCCATGGAGACGATAAAACACGCTGATTGATGATAACGATGACAACGGAAAATGAAAAAAACAAAAATAAGAATCGTTACGTAACTATGGTTATGTTTTACAAGTTTGTTTTCTATAGGAGAAGACTGAAATGTGGGGGATCCGGCCCACGTGTTGAAAGTACAATTAATCTCCTCTTTAAAATTTATTTATAATTCCCATTTATACGTGTGTATAAGTATATAATCATGAGTGTTTGTGTTTTGTGTGTAATGTGTGTGTGTGTGTGTGTGTATAATATGTATTCAAATAATGTTAAACTCGTTTATAGTCAGGATGTTTTCGTCCTTTCTTATATTTGAGTGCTTTTATAAATTTTGACTTTAAATCCTCGGAAAAGAAAAATCCGTCCTTCGGCAGCGCTCCCGAATCTCTAAAATAAATTCGTCCCTCCATCTCTCACCCTTCTCCATGTGTTTTTTCTCTTAAAAAAATCTCTATCTCTCTGTCTCTTTGTGTCTGTAGTTTGTTGTTGTTGTTTTTTCAGTTTTTCGTGAAATTTTTCTTGTATGTATAATTATTATTACATGTTTTGTATATTTACTTTTTTGTTGTTTTTGTTTAAATTTAATTTAAATGTTTATTAATATTTATTATTATTTTTCTTTTCTTTTTATTATTATTATTTTATTTTTTTGTTTTGTTTCAATCTAAAGTGAGAGAATTGTGGGTCGGGGGGCCGGGACATCACATAGCATATTTGCGGGTCCATTCGCGCGCCAGCTCGTTGTACTTCTCCCTGTCCGTTTTATATATCCTAGCGATCTCTGGCACCAAAGGATCGTCCGGATTTGGATCGCATAAAAGTGAGCAGATTGATAACAGTACTGCAATGAGAACAAACAGAAAGAAAATACGTGTCAGGGTCGCGTGCTAAACTTTAATTCTCCTCTCAACTCTTCTCGTTACGTACCTTTTGAGATTGTTAATGCAGGTGACCACTGTGATCTTAATATATCAAGACAGATGCTACCATTACTGTTTATGTTTGGATGGTAGATTCTAGTAGTGAAAGCCACTTTGGGTGGTTTGAATGGATAGTCTGTGGGGAAGTGGATCGTCAAGAAGAACACTCCACCCTGATACGGACTGTCCGGCTACAAAACACAAAACAAAACCAACTTTTAATTTACATACCAACAGTTTATACATCACGTAAACATAATTAAAAACATTCATTTTTTCAAACAACATTCCTAATATTAATTACAATTATACCACATTCTTTCAATTTATTTGTACAGAATATTATAGTATATGGAAATAATATTCAATGTTTCAATCAACAAAAATTAACACTTTTATCTTCATAGATATAAAAATAATTATAATAAAAATTGCAAATCTTCATTTATAATTGATTAATAATTATAAAAAATTTAAAAGTCATTTGCACATAATTTAATAGCAAATGATTTGCGAAAAATGTAAACATATAAAATTGCTTAACCTTGACCATGAGTTATTAACCTGTAATAAATTTACAATTCCCATAAAGCTACATTTACTACCCAATAAAATTATTATTATTTTTTTAGAGATATTCACAATTTCTCTTGTTGAAAGTGAATTCTTGAATGAATCATGTACGTTGGGTCACATAATCGATGTATATCAATTTCTAAGTTGAAGGAGTATTGATTGTCCCTCTAGATTATTCATCCATGCGTGAATGATTAATACAACGAGTTAAGATTTCTTTTTTCCCGCCATATAATATTCATTAACAGACCTGAGAAACCCAAAAATAAACAGTTAATAAATGATTACAATATAAATAAGTCGTTACAATCAATAGTTTGGGAAATAAATTATTTTGAAAAATAAAGAAGTTCGTCTTTCTTTGTTTTCCACCACTTTAAATTCTTTAATCATCTGACTCATCGATTCCACTTTCATGTCTCCGTAGACAAAGGAACCAATATGGATGAATATGTGCATCAATTAAACTTAATATAACGCCCAACTTGTTCAGAAGATTCATTAATTATGAAACAAGATACAAAAATTAATGTTGTATCATGTAAAATATGCAAGTAAAAAAGAATAAAATCAGTATACGTCATTTGCAGATTACAAATGTTAATCAAAGAGGAACTGGCTGTTATCGCTAAATGAACACGTAATATTAATTCATCAGCAACAACTTTCGACTATTTATTTAGATTTGCACAAATAAATGTCGCATGAAATATTAATTCAATCCGCTCAAACTACCCATTGATAACACGTATTATTGCAGATAAATAAAGTATTAATAGCATGCAATAATAAGCAATTTTATGATGAGATACTAAAGACTGTTGCGAGACTGTAATCAAATTTATTAATAATGAGTCTAGGTAGCTCGTTCTCACAATTGTTTATAAAAAAAAACAACAACAGCAAAAGTTGGAATTACAATTGGACATTCGATTTAGTTGCAAAGCAAACAATCAAAAATAAAGCATATAAATGTAAAGTTATGAACTCTTTTAGTAAGAAATGATTCGTAAAACAGGATAATTGGGTTATCGTGTGTCTGATATTAAATCCAAAGATTGTTATCCGCTGTAAACTATAAATAACACTCAAAATTTAAGTAGATTAAAATACTTCAAGTCAATTTTCACCAACTTTACGTCACGTTCAAAAAATGCTATTAATAAACACGCAGAACAGAATATTCCTAGAAATTGAGAAACCAAGTATTAGATAGGTACTTGATCAATGGTATAGTAAATCCAATTCGTAATTAACTGGATTCGGTCAAGTGCAAGAGCGACACATGAACTTTCGGCTCTGGACAATTGCTTCGAAACCGGTTTTAACACAGGCTAATTGAGCAACGCAACTTTGATAATTCTCCAAACAATAAAAAGAAAGTGCAATTAAATGTTGCAAAAAAATAATAATAATAATATTGCTAAAGCTGTTACCGCATCAGGTGAAACGTATTAGGCAATTTCGTGATGTCACCTCAACCAGTGTTTTATTATTACAAGACAAAATATACCACCTAAATCCTATTAGAAGACTAGTTATAATCACTTGAGAAAACATCTATAATTAACTTGCTTTTTCTTTCATTCAGTTGATTCCACATGAATATTTTAATTCATTAAAAAGGTCAATCCACCTCAATGTATATATTCCATATGTTCACTTCCGATTTCACAGATTAAATTAAATTAAAATTTTGTAATAATTCATAATGATTAATAATTTCACACTTTATATCAACAAAAAAAATACAGTCGAAGGTACATGCATCAGCAATATTACTAACATAACAATTACAGTGAATTCAATTCAAACATATTTCCATTTTACCACAGTCATGCACTTTTTTTTCTCTCTATCTTTTCCATCGTTGTCAAACGGAAAAGAGAAACAAACGAAATTATGTTATTATCACATGCACACGAGCTCATGTGCAATACCCCTGGACATTCTATATACAATTGTCGAGCAAAAAAAAATGATTACTCGTCACAAGACCGATCGATTTGTAATAGTAATGCAACGGACGATGTGTGGTTTATATAACACTTGCTTTAGTTGAACTATCGTGGTGGGCACAGCGAAAAGAAATCAGATTAGATATCAGCAAATCTTATCTCGCCGCAATTGAAAAACAATATGTACATTATTATAGAAAGAAACTAAGCTTTAAAACGTATATAATATTATAATTTAAGAATGGTAGAAAAAAAAAAGAAATGTTAGCTCAAAATTCCGAAACAAAACTTAGAAATTTATGTTAATTCTATGAAATAGTAAAACGTAACTTCGGTTACGACACTCCGTTGAAACGTCACAAAAATCGCAACTATTTACTTTGAATGTATCGATTATCCCACATCTAAAATTAAATGTAATTTCTGAACGATTGGAACTCGTTTAAAACCCAATTTCATAAATGATTCACAAATAGTTATCAACTAATTGTAATTAAACTGAAATGTATATACTTGCAGTCAAAAGGTTATCAAGAAATAACTTTTCCAGAAAACACATTATTTTCCAGCTTCAATTTTAAAAATATTATTCATTTGATGATTGAAATGAGTTTCAAAACAGAACAATCTTTAGTTAAAATTATTAACATTGTTCAGCAATAAAAAGCTCTTAGATCATGAGAATGAAAAGTTGGAATTTAAAAGCATTGCTTGTTTGTTAATTAAATGATGAAAACAATGCTTATCCGACATTCAAATGATAAAAACAAAACAATTCTGCACAACAAAACAACACATAAAATGTATAATTTAAAAGGAAATAAAGAAATACTCACTGGTCCCATGATTGTGGCTTGCCAATGAAATACTGAAACAAAGAAAAACATAGCAAATTCAGTCAAATTTTCAACACACATCAAGAAACATTGTCAGCAGATTACACAAACAAATCAATATATACCAAAGTGAAAAGTTTCCTCTTTCGAGTTTGAAAAACAAAATTATTAAAAAGTACTTAGTTTTATGATTCGAACCAGAAGGAAGCCATACGTTTCATTGTTTGTCAAGACTTGAGTTCCTCCTTCAGTTTCTGTTTACTTCTTTTTTTTTAACGTTCAGTCATTTCGCCAGCAAAATCCAACCCACTTACCCGAAGCAATTAAGTAATTAATTACGCGTTTTAATAACGTAACCAGAACAAAAAAAATGCACATATCTGGAGCGGCGTTAATTAGCTCGAGTGGAAAATTAAATTATTGGTATTTTCCGAAATTGACGCCAGTTACGTATTATACTAGTTTTACTACCAGACACATCACATAATGGACGTTATTTCTTCAATAATGATTTCAATTGAATGTATACCTATAATCAGCTTTACTGAATTTATATGTAACTGTAAAGACAATGATGTCTAAACCAGATTTACTAGATATGAGGATGATGTCTCAACAGCAATTGGACCTAAGTTGACTTTGAACATGTTCATCTATTCAGTTCAAGTGTCATCTAAGATGGAAAAATAGGATCAATTGAAAATGCCAATACTTCAAGTAATTCATTTGAACCTATTTTCGCACCTTATATGAGATTTAAACTAGAATGGAACTACTCACATTTCGATGTTCAATGTGAACCCTGGTTCAACTGCTGTTACTCAGACAGATGTCCTTCCTTCCAAAAATAACTACTTTTACGTATCAATCCGACCTTAATGTGTTTACAGCCCTACAACAAGAACACACATGAGTAATCAGTGTATATACTAACTCCTAAAGAAATTGATAATATTTCTTGCAATTCATCTTAAAACTATCATTAGAACACTGATAATACACAGACGTTTACAATTTCCATTTTTTGTTTGTTTAAATATGCTATGTAAAGACTAAACATTATTTTCCAATTCTTCTTGCAACATCTTCATTTTGTAGTATGGTCACTGCTGATTACACTATTATAACGCATTGGATTTTAGCCAAGACTGTGCAAAATAAGAAATACGATTCCGAAATCTGAACGCAATTTCGAAACAACAAATTGATGTTAACCTTGTCCGAGCACTCAATAACAATTATTCGCAAATGCTTGTACAAGTATAATCTGGCCGATAAATGGTTTTACTACAAACTTAATAGATAATTTCAATGGGTAATGTCCAATTCGATTAAATGAAGAAAAGCCCCCAAGGGAAATACACATCTGTTTTACTGTCAATTACATGAAATTACATTAATATCGTCTCGAAATCCAAATGATCTGCTCAATATCAGTTATTTGTAATTAAAACTCTATACAATCTAAGATAATAGTGTTGCAATCACATATAAACAAAGTTAAAATTAAAATGATTGTTTGTTCATTGAATCAAAGTGTAAATAGAATTAATTAAGATTGAACATTTGACAATGTAATTTCAAAACAGCTTCATCAATGTACATATTATTATATGAACAATAAATATTAACATGCATGCATGCATGCAGATAATAATTAATACTTCATTTTCACTTCTCAAGGAGACTTTAAGAATTTGAGAGAAAAAATTGTAACCTGTTTATTATTTTTTTTCTATATTCCTCTAATTAGTGTCAGCATATTTTGTTTATTTCAATAAATGTTTATACGAAACGAAGATTTTCAAACTGGTTGTGAAACCTTACATCAAATTATTTAGCATCAATAAAATGTAGGTGATTGAACATACAATATCCTTGTTACATTTAACTAAATTTTACATTCATTTAATCTAATATAAAATGTTTTCTATAAGTTTCAAAAATAATGTCACATTCCCTAGATTAACTTATTAATTATTAAATTAAATCCAATATATTCATATGGAAACACAACATTTACTTATAAAATAATTAAAAATAAATAATTTAAGAAATTTTGGAATCATCAATTAAAAATTAATATATTCAATGTACACAGATGACTTCCAATTGGAATTCCCATATTATTTTCTACCTTATTCATTTCTTTAATCTTCTTGAATGTTCCATAATTATATATAAACTATTATCAATTCTAGAATTCATTCCTAGAACAGCCTTCATACATAAGCCATGGGTTACAATATATATGAACTTAATTTGTTTTCCAATGTAGGTTGTGACAACCATTGTCCTTCCATTGAAACTCCTAAGATCAACATTTGTGGTGATTGTTTAATATATATAAATGAAACTCTATATAAATATTATTTATATTCAAGAGTTGCACAAAATACTTTGCTCTTAATTCTTACAAGAATTAGAGCAAGAAATAAAAAACATGAAATCAAATTAGAATCTATTAGTTTTCCAATATCATATCTTATGATCCACTTTTATAACATATGCTAAAAGTGGATCATAAGATTATGTTATTGGAAGAGCAATAAAGTTTTATTTTACACAATTAATAAGTCTGCAAGATATGTGGAATTCCAATAGGATCCAATTGGATTTTCAGAATTAGGGTTCTTTGAATAACTAAGTACTTTTTATATAATATGAATTAACAAGGGGTTTAATTGATCTTGGATGAATGATTAAGGATTGGTATGTAATGAAATAGTATACTCACAGTCATCACCGACAGGTCCTGCTGAACATTGTGCGGGAGGATCTCTACCTAGGTCTTGTAGTTCCTACAATACAAAGTAAACAGTTCGATTAGTGGTAAATCATAAGTGGCACAGCAGGCTCAAAAATAACAGTAAATATATGAGTTGAGGTTATGGTGCATCAGCAGCCCCGAGCCAAACATTCTAGAACATTTGATTTATGCAACGACGGTGGCAACGGGGCGTGCTGAGGGTTGCATCCAACGTTTAATTAGATTAATGCATGTAATTGTTTCTTTCCCTGCCCCAATCGAAACGTCATCCGATTCGTTTGAGTCATATCAGACCTCCGATTAACGGCGGCACACGAGAATCTAATAGGACAGGGTCGAATTACACGCTCTTGTAAATCCCCTAGAATGCGTGCAGGAGGCTATCTAGATTGGATAGAATATAAGCAGCGAGAAAGAGAGTACGGTTAATGGTTTCCATTACGTTATATCCGGCATTTTTTTTTGTGTGTGTGTGTGTGTGTCGTTCGTTCGTCTGTCGAACCCGCAGATTTTCCTGTATAAGGCGACTCTTGCTGCAGGAATCTTGGCGTTTAAAAAAAGACGAACGGGCGATAATGGACACACGACGACGGTGCGAGCGGAAAAAACGAATAAAAATTGAAACGAGAGAAACGGAAAAAAAAGATGTATGAAAAGAAAGATGTATTCGGAACGAAGAGCAGAAAGATTCGTAGAATGCACGGTGTTGTATAAATGGGAGAGTGGAGAACCGCAGCTGACTTCGGGGCGTTCGCGTAGCTGGAGGGTTCTGTGGGGCCCTCGTCAACACGTTCTCGTCTCAGCAGTTAAGCTCAGGAAACGGTCTCCTCTCCCTCTGACACATGCGAAATTACAAAACGTGTGCATGTCGTCCGAGAGTGTGCCGTATGAATGGATGAATCGGATGGATGTATGGATGGGCATGGATTATATATACGAAAAGAGCCTATTTACCTTATTGATTCGTTTCAGAGCCATTTGGTGTGTTGTGTGTGTGTCTTATTTTTAACTACTGTTCCGGTGGCCTTTGCAAAATTGGACGAAGTAAAAAAAGTCACTACTCTCTTTCCTTCCACACTCTCTATCTTCTATCTTTCTCTCTCGCTGTCTCTCCTTTCTTCTCTATCTCTCTCTCTCTCTGTCTCACACACTGCGTGTAGTTGTAGTATCTATGACTGCTGACTGCGAGCGAGTGTGTGTGTCTGTAATCCCAGGAAGATTGCGTGTGGTGTCGGCAGCAATTCCGGTCTTCGATGGCTCTACCACACAGAGATCGCCGCACAGGGTGTCGTACTTTAGTCCTTCGCAACGACCCTCTTCGGTCGTACTGGTTCCAATTGGAAGATGAGAGAAATGCCTCCTCGCTCCGGTCTAGGTAGTGAGAAAACTACTACACAAAGATGGCCTCCTTTGAAAACCTGATGAACGACGTAACTCAAATCAAGTACAGATAGACGTCCGTCGCGCTCTCTACCTCTAGCCACCTCTTCCTCACTATAATACCGCTCTCTTCTTCTCTCAGCCGTCGCGCCGATCGCACCCTCTATCACCGCTCCGGTTTATTAACTTCTTCCGGATGCAGATGGACGATGGTCTCTTCGTCTGGTACGCTGTTCTTATTGCTCGATGACTTCCTAACACTATGCAGCGCTTTGGAGACGCGCCCTTTTTCTTTATCGCTTCGTCTGGAATTTGGAAATTCTAGAAAAAGATGACCGATTACTTCCGTGACTAAGCAAAGTCACGGCTACGACACAAACGGCCAATCCTTAAAACAACGACGTGACTACTCAACGACAGATGGCACCGCCACATCCAACATGACAGAATCAAACACCCTACAACATTTAGAATTTGAATCATTCCAATTGTGGTCAATTATAATCTTATAAGATTGCAATTTGAAATAAAAACATTCATCAAGATGTTCAAGAGTTATATCAGTCTGTAGAATATTTATATGTTTATGATGCAACTTCCAAAAAGATTATGAAAGTATAAATACAATTACTATAAACTAAACACATTTATGCTTAGATCATTTAAAACATTTCAAACAAAGAGAAATAGTGACACCAATTTTCTATTTTGAAAATCTTTGTAAATTTTACTTACTTTTACCATTAAAGTCATGAATTTATATATTTTAAATAGTAAACATATTTTTTTTCTTAATTATATATAATTATAATAATGATACACAAAGTCCTTAATGAGCAAACAATTAATACATATGCAGTTGTTTTCATGTTGATATTGATTATGAGTCATACGCTTCTGTCAACAAACATATTTATTTATTGGTTGCTTATTTACCAACAAATCAAGTTATAATTTTTGTTAAAAACATTAAAGCTTTATAATCTTAGTAATTTGTTATGTAATAATAAGTTTTATTTTTAACCAAAAAAAGTTTTAAAAACTTTGTCCCTCTTAACGCAAATGTAAATTAAGTTGCCTATATTGTCCATATATTCACCTGTATTATGTTAAAATTCAATTTAATTAAAATTTAATTATAATATGACCATGAAGGTATTGAACCCAATTCAGAACAATCACACTGAATTCAATTATTGACCTCATGGAGCAAGGAATGTATTCTATAAATTATGTTTAAAACAACAATTTTTATTTCTTTCAATTACACTATTATTAATATAAAACTTACTTTTATTCATACACATATTACTTAATTAGTTTAGAATTAGACTTAAGTATTAATAAATTTCAATGTAACTAAGAATTTTGTTTATTTATAATACTATGCATGATTCAAAACGTTTATATTAAAAAAAAAACAATAAAAATATTGAACTTTGACTAATGTCTATTTTTGTCTGAATCTATATTTAATTTATTATGTTTTTGTCTCATCGAATTGATTTGAATTATTACGTATTTTAAATAATAAATTTTCTTATATTCAGGAAAAGGTAATTTATAATAATTTATGCATATGGTAATTGATTGCTCAGTATTTTTCAAAACATGTTAGCAGATTGATGCTAAAAGAAAAACGAAACCTAAATGAATATGAAAGCTAAACGTATTTAATTTGTACATAAATTACGGACAAAATGCGTGGGAAAGAAATGAATGGAGAGTAGAAGCCTGCGTAATTTTTTCTGTTTGGAAGATCTGCGTAAACACGTCTATAAAATATATTAAATGCGAACGCAGGAATGCAAAAAAAAACACACACGTAGTAATAGATTGCAAACAAAATGATACAAACATTGCACAGAATGGTTTGCGACATGCGAAAACACTTGCTCCATTTTTTTTCGTTATTACCATTATTGTATTTCTTCTGTACAAATACGCAATGGGGAGCGAGGACGCAATTACCCGCAAGTTCGGTTATGCGATCACAACAATGGAAACGTGCGAAAATTCACTGCGTCCGATCGATCGGAAAAGTTGAAAGAGAAAGAAAGTTGTTTTCGTTTTGGTAATTAACGGTGAAGATGTCTGCGGTGTTGAATGAATAATGGATGTTATTGATATTCACACGAGAGACAGAAATAAAGAAAAAGTAGTGTCCAGTATTGCGAATCTGCTGGAACTTCTTTTGTTTTTTTTGTCTTTGAACGAGGTGCTGCGTTTCCGGTGCTCCGGTAAAATTAGAAGTGCGCGAAGGTCGTAGGAGTAACGAAAACCCATACAGATTATTTCGTCTTTCGCAATTTCGAATCCGAGCAATTACGAGAGCAAGAGGTTGATGGCAAGGTCGCACCTCAGGGTCTCCGGCCGAAGAATTCCGGGTTTCTCAATAATCGCCTGATTATTTCACGTGCGGAATTAAAGATTTAAATAAAAACACATAAGATTTTCGTGTACGTTTACTGCATCTTTCTCTCCGCACAATTCCTTCAGGCACTTTTTTTTTACTTTCACTTTTTTTTTCTGTATACTAATATATTACATATATAAAATCGATCTTCGATTACATTAATCGACGATCCTCCTTGCGTAATCTTAATACTGCTCAGTTCACTTATCTAATGGTTATGACATATTATGGCGATGGATTAGTACGTGTATTGGTACTGGAGGTTGTTCTGAGCTCTTCCCAACTTCACGTCCACGTAATTCCTTCCGAAACTCTGCTCCTGCAAGGAATCCAAAAGCTCCTGGTGATCCTCCTCCTGAGCCTGCTGAATGGCTTTGTTGTAGTTATCGATTTGCCCGGAAGTAGCAGCCGGATACGGGTATTCCGCTGCGGCGAACAGAGGTTTATCGAAGACAGGAATCGGCGGTGGGTTCATCCCGAAACTGGGAAAGTTGTACTCCGTGGATGATGATCCATCGTTCAGGTAATCATCGTAATTGTTCTGGGTATTGGCTAACAAATCCACAGGAGATGGCCTGAAGCTGTCGTACCTATTGTAGTATTGACCACTGGATAAACCCAAGATCACCAACAGCTGCAAACACAACTCTCAGTTAAAAAAAAAAGTAATATGAACAGATTTTAAATGGAAAACAAAAAAAAAACTCACAGACAGTACGGATTTCATGGCTGGAACTGAACCGACTAAAATGGATCGAGTAAAAAGAAATGTGTTTCGATGCGCGGTTGGAACGCAACTGGTCTTCGAGCGTCCGCACAAGTTTCTCTTATATAACAATCCAGCGTGGTTCCACGAAATTTTTATCAAATTCTACTCGAAATTCTATTTTTATTGGTGCAAACGCACACGCAAATTCCAAAACTAAATTATTAAGATGCATTTGTTTTCTTACAAACTTATTTAGTTAGTTTGAAATCTTGAGACGAATTTAGTTAAATGAATTAAATTAAAATCAAATTATAACAGTTTGCTGATTTACATATTATTGAAGGATCTCCGGTCGATGGACTACAGTTTTTTATTTAAATAAGTTTGGAATTAGTTTAATTATTTTATTGGAACAACATATGCAAATCTCCAATCTTTATATTAATTAATTAACAAATGTTTGTAAAAGCAAATCAAATATGTAACTTTTAATAAGAAGTAAACTAAAATTTAAGCTATTGTAACGAGTTTAATCCGTTTCAAAATTTCCGGATTTTTACTTGTATAGTGAAATACTCATGCGCAATCCGGGACTTCTCTTCTCATCGTCACTCGTTATGCGAATTGTTTATCCTTAAGTCAAGTCGTTTTTCTTACAATTCAGTTTGCTCGTTAATCGAAATGCTCGTTATGCAAAGTTCCACAGTACTTAATTACTTAGTTTACTATGTTAATTTTAGCTATTCATATATTATACACGCCTTTTAATTATATTAAACAAGATTGAATTTATGATATGAGCTTAATTTATTCTTAAATTTATACAATATTATTAACGCGCGTGTGAAATGATTGTTGAATGTGTACAAAGCCAATGATAAATTACAGAAATATGATTTCAAATTTGATCTTGTTATAATTAGTAAATGTGTATCGACCTCCGTGTAATGACCATTAACAAAAAAAAAATACTATAGCCCCATATTTCATAATAACAGATTTTGATCAAGGATGTACACCTAGGCGTTGTCAACCTTGAAAGAAAGACAAATGTCTGTTATTTTCATTGTTTCGCGGATGCGAGAAACCGAAATGAATAGAAGGCGAGAAATCTGGCAGTAAATCGAATGACTCGACCATTGCATTGCATTGCACTTTGGAAATCGACTAATAATCGTTCGCGCTTTTGATGCCAGACATCAATGTCAATGCTGCGCTACTGCTGCAACAATAACAGCAGCAGCAGCAGAAGCAAAAACAACAAGAAACCCTTTCACCGCTCAGCACAATATTATAGAATCACGTAGCCTAATGATACGAATAATTTTCCATATTTTCTGCTTTCAATAAGAGAATCGTGTTTACGACCAAAGAAGGTAATTAAAAGTTGGTTCCGCTTTTGTAACGCCCAGCAGACAAAACGCTTTTACGCAACCTTCAGAAATAATAGAAGAATTCTACATGTTTTCTTTGAGACCACTGTCGAAAAAAAAAAATAATGTAGAGAAGTAAACGAAACATGAGAGATTCCATCGTAAGTTGAGAAACCTCTTGAATTATTCACACAGTTTTTCTTGTTTAAATCATCTTATATTCATAAATTTTGTAAATTGCAGATAATATTAAATAATTCTTTATAATCTTCTGTTACTTTTGTGAGATTTTTATACTTAATATACTGTATCAAATATTGTGAAACTTTGAATATATTGATGAATATTAACAATTTTGATTTAGTCCAAATTTTTACAAACTTTTTCCCAAGATCAGCGTTTATTTAAATGCAATTATTTCCAAGTGCATTTGAAGTTATTGGCCTGAAATCTAAAAAGCTATAAAATAAGAATTAGATCCTTTCATTTTGCAAATTTGGGCGCGGAATTGTCTGAAATTTTATTCCAAAAATGAAAATAATGTTCACCTTGGTGGACTCAATTGTTCAGTCCTCAATGCGATTACATAGTGCAGTAGGATTTCTCTATAAATAACAAGAAATGAGAAATTTGTAATTGGTAATTGATCCAATTGGATTAGGTCTATTTTAGGAAAATTAGCCAATGAGGAAAATATAAAGAACAACTGAAAAACATTATATGTAAGATATTGCGAGCGAAAGTGTCTCCAACACTGGCAATTACTAATAGATCCGTTGCGTATAACAGAAAATTGTAGTGTATGCTGGTGCAGGCCAATGCTGGTACTCTCAAAACACAAACACACACGGAAAGATACTAATAAAGCGAGGGGAACCGCGCGTTTTACGTAACAACGAAAGTTATTATAATATATACACTTTTTCGTTATGACTATTATTGAGATTAGTAGATTCCATCTTACGTGATGCTCTTGACATCGAAATGTGCTCCAATTTCGTTTTCTCTCGAAATGTCAAAGAACCAACCGAGTTTTAGGATTATTTTTTAGAAATGTCACCGTATTAATTACAATAAATTGTCGCATTGTGATTGAACTTAAGAAAACACTTGAGAAATGAAGAAAAAAACAAGTCTGATTTTTCTCGTTAATTAATGCGTGCGTTGCTGTGAGAATGTAACATTTATTCATTTAAAAATGCAAGTAATTTCACTAATTTTAATTATGTTATGATAATATTAACATTAATCAATATGCAACTTTCCCTATTCAACAAACGCACAATAAACAATTTTATTTCCTGTACAATCTGTTGATACTTGTTCTATGCAATTTTACAAATTTGTTTCATATAAGACCGTTATGCGTCATTTCCCGGCATTTTCCGGATGATTTAAAAAGAAAAATTGCTGTGGTTACATAACATTTTCACTAGTAAATTTTTACTAATAATTTCTAAAATTATTTCTATTGAAATTGATAAATAATTAAATTTAGTGTTCAAGTCTATTAAAAATGTGACAGTAGACTTTCCATTAATTTTTATTTAACAAGTTTTTTTTTCGTTTAAATTATAAATTGTATAATCGCATATGAATTTGTTGATATATCTAAATATATTTCTATTACTTAACAACAAAATTTAAAAAAAAAATCAAGGTAAACTGATGCTTGGAAGCAGCAAACTAAAATTATATAAATATCGGTTACAGACGATTAAACATGGAAAATATTTTTGCGCAAAACAAAAAAAAATAATCAGCAAAATCTTTTGCAATTATTACAATGAGATTTGTACCACATGTGGCTGGACCTAATTGCGAAACATATTATAATTATTGGTGATGAAAGAAAGGAAACTGTCGTGCAATCCACTTGCCACAAATTCATTTATTATTATGTAATTGTTTTGGGTAAGAATTTCCCAAATTTAATACAAACAATGACGTCAATGCTATCAATCAATTAATTAGTTCACCGATTTGTAATCCATTGAGTTTCCACCATATAGAGAAGCCATTTCCAATTTGAATATAAATGTTTTGCCTTCGAGACATCAGTTTTGAAAGAAATAGTTAAAGAGAATTTAATTACTTTTGTTATTGCTCCAATATTCAAAATAAATATAAAATTCAATTATAATTAAGGAAAATAATTAATGGATTTATAAATATTAAATTTTGTAGAGGTAGAACTTATTTAGTTTGATAACAATTTTAATTAGTATTAATTTGCATATAGTTGTGTACGTTTGGTTGCCTATAATAAAATAGCCTAAGGCATTAATTTCTATAATAAAGTAAATTTTATACATTGTTCATTAATTATATAGACATTTAATACATTTTAAAAGACTATAAAGTATATACAATTATTGTTGATTTATGATATAATTTACTAAAAATAAATTTTATAAGACTCATCCAATATGAGGACGTTGGCGATTCTGAAGTTTATTAAAACATCTAATGCCTTCATATGATTTAAATTTGTTGACATTTCTAATTTACACCCTTCTGAGGTCTCTCCAAGAACCTATGTGGGACCCCGGTTCGAAATACGTTATATTTTCATGTTCGACTCGTTACCTTTCTTGTTTTTACCTGTCTTGCCGTATCTCTCTTCTGTATATATTTCATTGAAGTTAGTTTAAGTTTGGTTTAATAGTTATATTTTTAGTTTCGTTAGAAGAAGTTGTTTATTTTGATTATTTGGGCTGAAGAAGGAAGTTATGGTTTTATTGGTAGAAGTTGTTTACTTTAATTATTTGGGCGGAAGAAGAAATCCGAAGAATAAATTGTTACTTTGGTTTTTGTGCTTTGACTGAACAGACAGTGGCTGGCTTGTTGGCGCGTAATGCGGAAGCAAAATGAAGAAGTGGGAAGGAATGAAGCAGTGCCATCTGTCGGAATGCGTCTCTCAACAATTGACTTGCAGACAATCCAATTTAAATAAAAGTTAATGCATTTTTTTAATTGCTTATTAATTAGTTAATTCATTAACAAATTATGTATATAAATAAATTAATGCATATATATTAATAAACATTTATTTGTTGTTCTTCGAATAAGCACTAAATTAATATAATTTCTTTCCGTAAATGTTAATTCCATACTTGAATCAATCTCTTCGACGTGTCTTAAACGAATATTTCGTTCGGCTTTACAAATGGAACTATAAAACAGTACCACGGCGAAATCATAGACATAGTCTTACTAAACTTAATTTCAATTATTTACACGAAAATAAGGACGCATCTTTTATACATATATATTTTTTGTTACAAATTTCGTATTTATTATTGAGGCTTGCTATCCAACGGCTGCATCTGATCAATGTTCTCAGCTTTCGAGTTGGAGCGACTCTTCTTACCGAAGCAGGAGGCTGTGAAGCAGGTGTCTCCGACTCCAAATTTCTCGCCGTCTTCGATGGACTGAGGCATCGGACTTCCGAGTGTTTCCGGAAGGAAGAGAGTGAGGAAACCGGAAACTAGAGCGATCACGGCGAAGATGATTGCTGGTAAGGTTGGATCGAAGGAGTCCAAGAGTGTGATGAGAGGTGTTAAAGCGCCGGAGAGCCTGGCGCACATTGAACCAACTCCTAAAGCTGAGTTTCTGATGACCGTTGGGAAGAGTTCGGCTGAGTAGTTGTAGACGATGGCAAAGCTGCTGGCGATCAAGAATTTTCCTGCCATCACTACAGAAGTGGCTTCTGTGCTTCCTTGGGTCAATTGGGTTGCGATGATGCAGCAAAGACCTCCAGTCAACATGTAGAAAGAGATCAGAGGTCTGCGACCTGTGCGATCCATCAGGCAAACAGTGATCACGTAGCTGGGCAATTCCACCAAACCCATGAGGAAGAGGATCAAGTAAGGGTTTCCATTCAGTTTACCAGTACTCAAGGATAATCCGTAATAAGCGATGGAGTTTGCGAACCAGCATAAGCAAATGTTCAAACTTTTCTTCCTCAAGTTTGGTGTTTTGAACATATCCAAAATAGTAGCGTTATCGTCTTCGCTGCTCCTATTCTCGATTTTCGCTTGAGAAACGTAATCGGATTCGTCGATGTGGATGGGACTGTTGTTCATCTTCAAAGCCTTCTTGATGATCTTAACGGATTCGAGTACTCGTCCTTGAGCCCACAACCATCTTGGAGATTCGTCCATGATCCACCAATGCGCAACCAGAAGAAGACCGTGCAGACCGTAAACGACCTGCAGGATTTGCCTGTTCGGGATGAGAGCGCCCCAACCTGCTACCAACATGATTCCTCCAGCAAACGCAGCTTGGAAAGCCACGCCGCAGACTGTTCTTTTGCTAGGCCCAACGAGTTCCATCGTCAGCACGAAAGCGGTGATGTAACTTCCAGCGGATCCAAAGATACCCAGCAAGAATCGAATGACCAAGAAACTGATGTATTCAGGGGTAAAAGCGACTGCGACTCCTAAAATGAGCTGGAAAAGAGCGGACCATGTAAAGATCGTTTTTCTTCCGTATTTATCCGCAGCGTTTCCAAGAGTGACAGCGCCGGTGAAGACACCGAACATGAAGACGGTTTGCGCGACGGCTCCCATCCAACGTCTGCTGCAGACGAAATTCCATTCGATCGCCCTCGAAGACTTATAATAAGTATTATCGTAGACCCATTCTTCGCAATCGACGGTATTGTTGTATACATCTAAAGTTCTGCAGCTGTCGAAGGCGCCGCTGTCCAACTGCGGGATGAGGTGACGGTGCTCGATGTTGTGGTAATTGCTCTCCGATCGGTTCACCTCCACTCCAGGGATCAGGCATCTTCGCAACAGCAACAAGAAAAAGAATCAAGTTAAAGTCGGTCACGGTGAAAGACGTGGATGAGGTTTACCTGTGTTCGGGTACGGCCGCAACGGTCACAAGAGACAGCATGTGAATGCCCGCCGTCACCGCAGCGAGCAAATGAAGGACAAACTGCAGGAACTGGTATTTCCCAAAGTCACCTGAAACAAATATGAATCTCCAATCAGTTATTTGTACACTCTGTATATTAAACTCTTAAAATACCAACAACGATTCTCAAAAACCGCCAGTAATTTAATGATCTTTAATACATTTATATAGGATTTTTAGTTAAACAAAGTAATGAACTTTAGTTTAATTAAAATATTATCTGTAATTTCTAAATGTTGACCATTCCAAATGCAACAACGTTCGTTCAACAATTAAAAATTTAACAAAATTTATCGCTTTAGCTATTTTCACAGAACGTTGCGTTAATTAGCATTATTACTCTAATCACAAAAATATAATTGGTTATTTCGTTCCCAATCAAAACAGTACAAAGCGAATGGGCAATAAAATAATGTGTGCATGCATAATTTTACGTGCACTTCGTGTAAATAACATAAATGCAAAACAAGAACACGAAGTAACCGTCCTTTATCTATCAACAAAAACCAGATTGCTATGGCAACCTTATCTAAGGTTTTTTTTTTCCTTCTCACCATGGTTACAATGATTTTAACCATTCGTTTTCGGTTCTAATTGCGCTCGCAAGAGACGAAAAACGTACAACAAGTTTGTATCTAATCTGCTCTCTCGCAATTTCACGAGTCAAAGTCGTTCGGACTATTTAGATAATGAAAATTATCACATGGCTTGTTTGTCGCTGTTGTTTTTCGACGAAGAGATATAGGATCCACTCGAATGCCCTCGGATCATTATGCAACGAGCGATCGCGACGACTCCGATGATTGCTAATCGGAATACGAAATGTGCTCATTTATCTTAAGTAGCAAACAACAAAATCGGACCTCCCATACAATGATGAACATTGAGTTAGGATTTTCATCATCGCATTAAGATAACTTGAAGTAATCTTAAGCATTAATTACTTAATAATATTTAAATAAGTAACGCAATCTTAGTTCCATTCACTATTTTTTTCTTCTTCTTATTGTTTTATTAAACAATGGACGCACGCACGTCTTCTTCCTAAGACGTGACTCCCCACGCACTGCAGTTAACATTAGTTTCTAATTGTTAATTGCTAACATCCAGTAAATGGAATTTTAATTGCATTTGTCTGCTTCTCGGCTAATTCCAGTTTTCATTAAGATTATTTACGACCAAATTAGGTTTTAATAGTTTTAAAACGATTACTCCAATTAAATATGCTAATCAATTTCATTCATTACACTTTCAGTCTATAATACATTCAATGTTGTTAAATTAACGTAAAACTTCTTTTCAACAATAGTTAAAAATAATTTAAAAAAATATGTATAAAAGAAGCAAACTGTGTTTTATTCTATGTTTGGGATCGAAAATAATTTCAAGTTCTGAGTTATCGTTTGTACGGAAATATTTGTAGTCAATTCCTTCTCGGTAGAGGAAATTCTAGCTGTAATTATAAAGGAGATATGCATTCCGAAATGAGCAAAGGCTTCAATTATGAAGAAAGAGGGAAAAAAAATGAGAGGAAGCATGGAATGTCCGACCCGATAATCACACGTACTTTTTGCTCCAATTCCTGCATCGTACGATGCAATTATCCAATTGAAACAACAACAAAAAAAAACCTACGAAATTACTTTAAATTCCGAAAAAAATAAATCATAGAAGTTACTACGTCGCCTGGAATTCCATGCTACTGAAGAGGCGTTATCTCTTATCAGTCGGGAATGAAAAAAAAAAAACGTGATTACATACGCAACTTTTGCCAAAGTATAACGTATAACAACACACGTTGATCAATAAATAAAACTAATAGAAAACGAATAAACATATTGCAAATCTTCGGGTCAAAAGTTTACCCAATACTGAAAATAATTAACCCAGAAGGTCACGAAGGAATTGATTATTATTGTTGTTTTTGTTTTATTTCTTGTTTTTACTATTTTTGTATTTTGCGGTGCGAGAGAGAACAGATTTGTTGTTGCTCGATTGATTCTTAGAAAGGCGCCAATTGCATAACGGCGATGATCGAAATGCGGCGATTTTCTTGGCCGAAGACCGGAGGAAAAACGCGATCGGCCTTGGTAATTAAACGCATTTCTTATGCAAATTGCTCGTACAATTTTAATTGTAATTTGTTCTTTATTTTCGTTTTACCCCAGTACACGCTCTTCGTGCAATGCGTTCGCGTCTCGACCGAATTGATGATGAGATTGAATTATGCATCATACCCAGGTGACCCATGAGGGTGTCCAGATCTCCTTTTTCTTCATGGCTTGTTTCTTCTTTGCTCATTTTGTTCTATGCAGAGGACTATTCTCTTATGCAAAAGCCTGCAATCCTGCAAGACTCAGGTTTCCTTCTCTTTCCCTCTCTACGGATCGAGATAGCTGCTGAACACCACAGAACCAACCGAACAACAGAACCAGTCACTTTACTACTAAACTAAAAACTCGCGACTGCCACAGTTTTACGCCTACTTCGAGTATTATATTATACCTTCCACTCCGTCGAATCACGATACTTCATTACGCCTGCCATCATCAAGATCATGCATCTCTCATACTCATCCATCTTCCCCCCAATCAGATTTCAATACAAATATCATCAAGTGTCATCATCATCATCATCATCGATCTAATCAAAAACAAAAACACAACCATCTTTGATTATAACAAAAACTAATATTAATCGATTTTTATTATTAATAACATTCTGCATTTACAAAATATATTATCTAATATTGTATATTTACTTAAAACAATCATTAAATATTGATTAGGTACCGTGGATAAGTCTTCATAAGTTAATTATAATTATCATATTTGAAATTACAGTTTCACTCTGTATATAATTTATACTGTCCTTCTTGTTGTTTACCTCAATTAAAAGACAATGGCAGCATATACTTGTTATTCAGTGAAGTCCAAAGGGCATTGCATAATATATATTTTTATTGTGCGAATTTTAAAATATAATAAAAAAAACGTTTCTGCTCCGACGTAAATAAAAGTTTTATATGCAGGCTTTTCTTGTAATTCGTTAAATGCCTTTAAATTGCACGCTGCTCTCGGTGTGCAAATGTTTGAGTGTGTGCTCAAGGCGAGAAAACCGCAATTTGCGGATTCCAACAAAAAATAAAAAATAAATAAATTCGGCAGATAAATCGAGGACTTAATTCCGAAAATAAGCATCTCACAGGAAGGCTGTTTTATCGTTCAAGTTATATATTTGATCCAACACGGTATGTACTTTACAACATAAGAGATAGCTTGGAAGAAGATGAAGATAAGTTTGTTCGGCGATAAGGATTAAGTAAGCCTTGACGCAAGTACTCGAAGGGCACGTGACTCCTCGACACGTACTTTGCATTGAGGAATGCGCGTTTATTGATATATTAGGATGATCGGATGGAAGACAGATGGTGGTGGTACGTACGATTCAATTAAGAAATCGAAAACATTTCCCAACATATTGAGTTGATTTGAGCCCAAGTTCAATATCGCACGAGCCGTTCATTAGGCGGCAGAAAAACGGCTTCCAATTGAAATCAGTGTTAGCAATTGATTGATCAATGAAATCGATGGTAATGATGATGATGATAATGGTGGCCTTCTTCCTCTCTCCTCCCCATTTTACGCAAGGACTTTTAAGAATGCCGTAATCCCAGACTCAAACAGTATTATTTATGGACGCGCCAAAAGTTTCCGCGCTTTCCTCGAGATACACATGCATCGTTCGTAATTTATTGTCCGCGAATCAAGCGTGCAAACAACTTGTTTTGTTTAAACTGACGCTGGTCGAGCAAATATTTGAAGGTGGATCAAACCGGCTTAGGTTTTCCTTTCCGAACGGTAGTGTGGTTGTCTAAGTCTCGCAAAGTTTTGTAAAAAAACAAAAAATGAAAACTTTATTTAACAAATAAAACTTTATACAAAATGCGCTTTCTCTCCTTCGCCTCCGTGAAATTAAATAATTGTTTGCTGATTAAGAACTAGGAGTTAGTTGAATTGAGCTGGTATCCTGTATGGCTTCTTGCCACCTTTGGGGATGGCCTGCTGCTGAAGTGGAAGATCGTCCAACTCAGGTTCTGGTTCTTCGCAGGTGCCGCCGGTTTCGTAGGTGTACTCCCTCTTGACGCCATCGGGATCGACGTAGCCGTATTTGCCGCGGGTTATGCAGTCGACGCCAATGGTTTCCTCCTTGAAGGAACCGTCTTCATTTTCGTAGCCCCAGGTGATGCTGCCGTCGGCATTGTCCGTACGGTACTTCCTCAAGATTTGAACGACTGGTTTACGGTTACGTGGCTGTTCATCATCATCCAAGTATTGTGGAGCTGGACGGGAAGCTGGACGTTGAGCTGGAGCCTGACGCACCGGTTGAGCTTGTTGTGGACGAACCACCTAAAATATAACATTCAATATTAATACACGTTTAATTACACAAATAATTATAATAATATAATAGAGATGAAGATTAATATTAAATTTAAAAGTATGAGCGACAAATAAATTTACATATGTTGTAAATGCATATTGCGTCAACTCTGCATGTCTCTATTCGCAATGCATTTGACATTAGAAGATGTATTTGCATTAGGTGGAGAATTCGTTATAGAATAAGAAGAAAAATGTAAATAGTTTATGAATAAAAGATCAAAAATGCCAAATCAGTAAAACATGATGAAACGTAGATGTCATGGAAATATATGAAGAATGTTGTAGGAGAACGAAGTTAAAAATAGAAACATAAATAATACAAGTTTTAATAAAAGTAGTATTAATCATCAATAACAAGTAATCGATTTTAATATAATGAAAGAAGGAATATTTGAATGTAGTTATAACATAGCTAGTTTTGATTCAAATAAAAAGTAGGAAATATAAGAAATTTATTAAAACTTGTAGAAATCTAATGAATATTCAGAGAATTTTTCTATAGAAAACCTCGCTTAACAAATTTTTACTTATACAGTGAAACAATTTTCCCCATATAAACTAATGTAATATACGACAATGGATTTTTCTTAAAATTTATTTTGCTCGTTAAGCGAGGTTCCACTGTATATGGAATGGAAATGAAGGGTAAGAAGGCAATGAAAGAATTGCACCATATATGAAAAATAGTGATCGTAAAAAAGGAAATGAGGCATGATAAAGTTGCATAAAATTGCAACTATTCAAGTACAGGGAATGTGTAGTAAAATAATTGGCCGAGGTCGTTATTAAACAGTTTAACGGAAATGAAAATACTGCAGTGCAAATGTTGAGAGGAGTGAATGTTCGCATAATCACTTTAAGGTTGACTCCATGTCGAAGTGTAAAAGTATCCATGATAAGGAAGTTGTTATAATAGTTGCATAAGAGAAATCAAATGTTCTTCATTGAATGAAATACTTGGGCAAATACTGTGAATATTAATAATAAGAATGATGTTAAATTAAATTACCTGGTGTGCTGGCCTCCTGACGTGCTGAACTGGAGCTTCGTACTCTTGCCTTTGAGGTGCTGGACGAGTGTACAGAGATTCCTGCTTCAGTTCCTGCCTGATGACGGGCCTTGGGGCTTCCTGCCTGAGAATCGGAAGTGGTTTAGGTTGGACGGGAGCTGGCCTGGACACTGGCGATTCGCGGATGTCTTGCCTCAAAACCGGAACCGGACGTTCCCTAAAAGAACCACAGCAACCAATCAAAACAATGATTCGAAAAAAAAAACGCAGCATGCAAGTAATGGAATGAAACGATCATGCAATGTGCAAACAAATAAATACTATAAACAAATCCCAAAAAAAAAAAGAACAACGTGCTTTATACGAAAAACCATACTTGTATAAGTTGTACTGTCGTCCCTGCGGGCTTCTACAAACAACAAACGTAAACATATATAATGCGATGATGATACTTTATGTTACGGCGATGATTCAATTGGTTTTATTTGCTTTTGTAATGTACCTGATGGGTTCTTCGTCGACTTGTTGGACGGCGGTGTGGAGGGCGGTGATTCCCAACTTGGCGACTTCATCGTCGAAGTGGGATTGACGCGCTTGCTGATCATCCTCTTCGGGTTCCTCGACTACGGGCCTCACTTGTTCGCGGACCGGAACCGGAAGAGCGTTCGATGGAAGAGGACGACCTCTGAACCTAGGTTGAGGACCATCCAACTGCTGCAACCTCTGCCTGATCGTTGATTGTTTCTGTGGTTGTCCTAGCAACACAGCACCTGGGATTTGGAGCCTCGGCGGAAACTGTCCATTAGCTAAATGACACAACACCTAGAAACAAAAAAAAAAACATTATTATTTACGTTGCTAAGACAATAATATAAGGCTAGTAAACATTTCAAAAGCTTCTTAGATTCCCACATCCCAAAAATAACAAATTCCAAAACTGCACTGAAAGTAATTACAATTCCCTGGGAAATGTTCAGAAATGAAGAGTTCAAGTGATTGCAGCAGCATAAACCAAATACCAGTTTATTTATAGATTATTGCCTCGACTTCTACATTTGGTTGATAGACTTATTAGTCTCAACGCGAATCAAATTAGTTTTCCTGCTTTCGTTGATTCTGCTTATCTGCAAAAGTTGCGCAGCAAACATGATACGTGGCGATTTCCATAATAGAAAAGCACGAAAATAAGAATCGAATTTTAATTACGGTCATTAGCATACGTTCGGATCGGTTACGCAACGAGCCTGTTTTGTTGTTACGGCTTATATTATATCATTTGGAAAGTCTGCTGCGGCTCTCGTCGGCTTATAAATAATAATAATAACGATATTAAATAAAACCCGGTTTTTGCCTGAGCAAAAGCGCGTTCAACATAATTTTATATTTTTTTTTCTTCTTCTTCTGCCTCTGCATGACGATTTTTTTTCTTCCTCTTACGATGAAAAGAAATTTTGTATGAAAGTAGATCATTGCGTTGCGCAACGAAACGGGTTCTCGATCCGAAACCAATTCGATACTACTACTAAGAGCTGAGACAAAACCTCGATGCATGTCTTTTGAATTATATAGAAGCTGGAGAAAAGGAGATTTCCTGCATGCTTGCTAACGGTACTGCATTTTTATACATAGACGTTGTGAAATGAAAAACGAGGAATTGCAACTGGATCACCTTCGGCTCTTTAAGTGTATTCTGGTCCGTTTGTTTATATGGGTGGAGAATGAGGCGAAAGAGGAGGAGGAGGAGGCTTAGGTGCATTTGCAGAACGAAACCGACGTTCAAGATCACCTCTGGATAAATATTGAACTGAATTCATTTTTAATGAAGCAAAAGAGCAAATGAAATAATAATAAAGAAACAGACTTCGCCGCTCGGTTTAGATCAAGGTGAGAGAACACGGCCCGAACGCCTTTGGACGTTTTTAAACGCGGAAAGTTCAACGATATTTTCAGTTTAACACCTTGGAAAATCTCAATTAATCTTCAAGCAGAGTTTATAATTGAAGATTATAAGATTACATGCATTTTCTCACGAATCAAGTTATTCAATAAATAATTACTTAATGAGAAATTTAAATATTTCGAAACAGTTTTACAAGAAATTAATCATTCATGTTGAAACTTATTTAGTTTCAAGGATTTTTTTTTATAATAGATGAATTATTTTACTTTTAAGTATGATTTGAAAACCTTTCTAAATATGAATTGAAAATAATTCTATTTTTCATTAAATCTCAATTAAGATTATTAATTTTTTAAGTTCAAAAAAATAGTGATACTTTCGTTTTCTATAGTATTCTAAATACATTCAATTTGAACAGTTATTTTTTTGTTTGAGTTTGTCTACTTTCGAAGAATAATTGTATATATTAGGATTACTTTCAAATTTGTAACCAAAACAAATTTCCAAATGTATTTATTACTGTAAGTTTCAATTAATTCGTTGAAAGTGTATCAAAATTATTTCCTCTTTTTATTAGATAAATAAGTTAAATTCAACTCTATAGTTTATAAAGAATAAATATAAAATACTTGAAAAATAATTATAAGAAATCAATATACAAATAATATTATTATCAAATCTAACATGTAACTAATTAATTAAGTAATTTAAAAATAATAATAAATAACGTTTTCACGTTTGTAATATGCAAAGAACTGTAATTATAAATAATTATACTATAGAACAAAAAGTAAGTACGAAATTCTAAGAATTGCATTCGAATACATTCTTTGACACTACGAAAAAAAAACATAAAGAAATGTTGACCTTGCAACAATTATTAGATAATTAAGTTCGTGTTGGTAAAACGCGAAGTGATCTTTAATTGTGGGTGGAATTCCGATACGTTCACTTTATCCCATTGTTATATTGATTAAATCTATTATTGCTTATTTCAATATTCAACTCGATACAATTTAGTATTTGCAATTTTCTAATACACGATTTCTGTAAAGTTTACAAAAGTAATTTTGTAATGATTTCTGTTTAAATTTAAAAAAAAAAATAAATTTTTAACAGAAATCTATTTGCTTTTACTTTCTACCAATAAAGCTATTGCTTCAGATGAAATTGTGGGTCAATTGTTTTAGGTTTTCTCGTTCTGCAAATGTTTTGTTAATACTTTTACAGTTTGATTTGAATGACTTTTGTTGTGAGTTTTAGTATAATTGATTGTGTGACTTACCGCAAAGAATAAACAACTGAATATTCCTAAATGAGCCATGATTCTCTTCTGGCGTCTCCTCTACTACTATCGGAACAAATGAATGCAGTGTATATACTCTTGAACGAAATGAATATACGGTATAGGTGATGTGATTGGCACTGATCTGCTTACATCATATTCCCAACTGGAGTAGCCCAGATTGCAATAAGTTGTTTTATACCGCCACACCCCACTGCATTCCACCCAAGCCCAGGCGATGGAACTTTCACCCTCCTGCTTAGAGGAGGCATTGTAAAGCCAGGCAACACCATAATCCAGTTTCCAAATTACACGCACTGTACGACCATTATCAAGACTCCTCAAGACCAACAACCTTTGGATCATTGTTTTTTCTCTTCACTTTTTTGTTGTACTTTTCTTACTCACATAAGATGGCTTAATAAAAAAATAGAAATCTATACAAGCTTAAAAATTTAGATTTGGAATTGTTAATATCTTAAGAAAAAAATTACGTAAATGGCATAATATATGTTCCAAGGTCTACCAGTTTCCGAATTGTATCAGATCTAATGGATGGAAATCAGTTTGACTAAAAGCAAAACGGTTGCATGCAGCAGGAAAAGGCTGATTAGTTGAAGTTCACCGGATAAGTGTGCAAGAAGGTGAAGATCACGGAACCGTTCGGATGATGGAGAAGAAGGAAAATGAGCAGGAAACTGTAAACCTAGATCGGAATGCTGCACCAGGATGCGATTTAATTTCAAACAACAACAACAAAAAAATACAAATTAATAAATAAGGAATGCCTCCGAAAAATCTAGTAGATTTGCTCCAATTCGCCGCGGATTTCTCACAGCCGCAGCAGCGTCGTTCGATCACGTAGATGGTTTTCTCTTCTTGGAAAAAAAAAAGGACTTTTCTTTCACCGTGCATTACGCGCTTTGCATATGTAACAACAGCATTTCGGGATTTTCCTTGTTGCGATGGAATCGGTGAAAGCGGAAATAGGAAACGAGTTTTCACTATCGCGCAGGAACAAAGTTTAATGGTCGTTACAGTTCAATCGCATCTTCTTCGCATTCATCCATTGTCCGTATTTAAATTCTTGCGTTGTACGTGGTAGAGACCAGAAGAATACCAAGGAGGAAGGAACGACGAGACCGACGCGCTGCAACAATGAAACGAAAAGAGATCCCGTTTCAATAATAATTTCCATTTGAAGTACATTTCTCTTTGGATAGCTTCAACAAATTTATTCATTTAAAAAAAAAGATAATTTCATAACAGTTTTCATAATTCACCTTGACTTGACACCTTATTAAGGCAATTTCAATATTAATTAAAAACTTAACTTCCTGTTTTTTTCCAAATTTTATTCTTCGAATGGTTACGAGTAAGTTAGTTAATAAAACGAAATCAATTGGCGTGCAAATTCTTGTCGTTATTTCATAAACTACTTGTTACACGCTCTACGATTTATTATACGCATACACGTAATTCCGTTTCATGGACTGATTCGTGTGATTCAAGTAATTGACTCGTAATAAATACGACTCCCCGAAAAATTTCATTTAGAAAATACGCAATTTCTTACTCGAATTATTTCAACTAATTTAAATTAATAGCGTCATATTTTTATTTAGAACATTCTTCTACGTGTAACTATTAAAAATTGAATAAATAAAATATTAAAAATTGAATAAATAAATAAGACTAACTTAATTAAGAAATGTTGAAAAAACATTTTTTGTAAAAGTAACAGCACCAATTTTGAAAATGAATGTGTTACCAAATAACTTCTTAATTTATGTTATATTTTATGTTTCTAGTTTATTCGAGTTTTGCGAAAGAAATGCCAAAAAAAAATGATTTGAATTATGGTTTTGGGAAAGTGCTGCATTATATAAATGTTATCAGATGTAAACCAAAAATCATTTGAAATTCACTCGAGCATACCATTCCCAGTGAATTTTACATATTCAATTATATCCACTTTCTTTCAAGAGCGATATTACTATTCGATTCTTCTGCCACACCCATGCAGCTATTACAACTATGCACATTATTGTCTTATTTATCAAGTAAATTCTTTTCTGATGAATGAGTTTTTCCTTTTTCCATTCCTCCTCGAACCGTGATGACTTTATGATAACAACCTTCAGAATTGTATGGTTCTAGTTCCAAATGGACATATTAGAAAAGAAGATGTGTACGGGTTGAATGATGGTAATGAATTGCGTAAAACAAAAATTTATTAAAAATAACTTATATAATTCGTCTATGTATATTATATTTAATTACAATATATAATAAATGTATGTATATAATCGATATTTGCATCCTCGTCGGCAGAACACGTTCTATAAAAAATATATTAATCGTATATTTATATATTACAGTCGTCATTTAATTAAGTAACTGGACGGTTAATTGCTCTTAAGTTCCATAGGCACTAGATTATCAAAATAGAAAGTAAAAAGTTAGTAAATCGATGATAATACAGAGACTTAAACAATAAAACACAATTGTTAAAAAATTACTAATAAAATAATTACTTAAACGGTAATGATCATATAGATTCCACACGCGAGAGAACAATACAAAAAAAAACAAACATTCAAAACTGGACAACAAAACGTACATTTCTATCTACACACGAATATTTATATATAAATATAATGCTAATGGAATCGTGACTTGCATTCAATATTTACACACAACAAACACACACAAAACACGTCGCACTTGAATTTGGGGAATAACTCTGCTACCACTGGAGATGAGTGACTAGAATGAAGCATCAGATTTGAATTTCACTGAAGAATTACGGCCGTCGCTTCAAACATCCAGGAATTTTCTAAAACACGTGGAAACTTTCTTTTCCATAAGTCTCTGCTACATTTGAAATAAATCGGATTTCATAACGATTCCCCAAACAAAACAAAAAATTCGTGCGAACACCACAACCTCGTGGCATATTAAAAAAAAATAAACAGTGACCATATCTCCAAGATTTGGAGGTTCATCGGAATAAAATTAATAATAATAAACTATGTACAAACATTTTTCTTTTCTTTTTTAACCAGTTCCAATTGTAGGAGGCGCGGGATTAAAAAAAAATACAGGAAGAAACTTTGGTTTGGTCGTTTCACTTCAGGTTAGATCAATCTTTCTTCAGGTGGTGGTTTGAGGACGTGGTTTAATTCTACTCGTGGATTGCAGAATTCCTGGGCGCTCGGACTGTAGGTTCCGCGCGTTGCTCTCTTGCTTCTCGTCACGTTGATCAGTACGACAAGACCTAACACCAACGCTATTACCAGAAGCAAAATGATTGGCACCAGGATGTACAAAATGTTCACTCCACCTTCGTTAGCAGCCGTACGCACCTGAAAAGAACACAACAATAATTAATATAAAGTTAGGAATTGAAAAACTTGTTGAAAATTGATCGATTAATCTAAATAATTCATTGTGAAACTTACCAAACTTTCGGTGCAATTCTTTCCGCTCCAACCCTCGGAACATGTGCACACGTAATCAGAGACTTCGGTGCAGTTCGCCTCGCATTCGCCTTTATTCCCACAAGGCTTCTCCGAGCAAAGATCGACGAGGTTGCAGAAATTACCGCACATATTGTTGTTGCACGAGCATTTGTACGAACCCATCGTATTGGTGCAATTCCTTATCGGACCGCATATTTCCTTATTCTCGAAGCACTCGTCGATGTCCGTCTCGCAAAGCATACCTGTATATCCAATCCCAGTGCAATTGCACTTGTATTCGTTGACACCATCCACGCACACGCCTCCATTCAAGCAAGGACTATCCCCGGTGGCGGTGACGCAATCGTCCACGTTGATCTCGCAGTACTTCCCATCGAATCCTAACTGGCATTGGCAGATCGGCACCTTGGAACTCATGTTGCAGAAGCCGTTCTCGCACCCTTGTCCTTTCACCAAACAGTATGGAGTATCGCAGAGATCTCCGACCATCCCTTCAGCGCAATGGCACGTGAAGTTGTTCTGAGTCATATCGTCTGAAGCGACAAACAAACAATAAAAATAAAACGTATTCATACAAACAATTTACGACAAACTCACTCTTCCCGTTTTGGCAAGTGGATCCGTTCTTGCAAGGCTGATTCTCGCACGTGATCAGCCTTAAAGCCTCGCACTGCTTACCAACGAACTTCTCCGGACATTCGCACACGAACATCCCGACCCTATCGCTGCAGGTACCGCCGTTGTGGCAAGGATTGCTTTCACACTCATCAATATCAATATCACAGCTGTAAAACAAAATAACCAATTGAAAACTGTAAATATTAATAAAAAAAACATTAGTAACTCACTATTTCCCCATATATCCAGAAACGCATTCACATTCATAAGTTCCAATCTGATCCAAGCAAGTGGCGTTGTTCTTGCACTTATTGTCTTCGCATTCGTTTATATCTATGGAGCAATCATCAGCGGCAAAGCCATTCTGACAATCACATTTGTACGTGGAATTCGGGCTCGAACATACTCCACCATTGTAGCAATCCTTCTCGTAACACAACTTACATCCCAGCACGTGCTTCTGGCTAGGAAGAAGTTCAAAGTACTCTTCCACCGAAGGCTTCTTCTCCGAATACAACTCCTTCATGGTAAAATACGGCAAAAGGAATTTTCCAATTCGAATATCGCTCAAGCAGCCCTTGAACAAATCGCTGTTCTTCTTCAAATCTACCTTGTAAGAAGGAAAAGCCGTATCCAAGAAATCCACAGAGCTACTCGCAATTACCGGATCAACCGTAGTCGTGTCAGTAGCCAAAGTCAAATACGTCGTTCCATTGTAATCACCATTCTTGATTACGCTCCAATAATCGAAAGTGTTGTTATCGCTTCCAGCCACGTAAACAGACCCTTCCGAGAAAATCTTCGAAAAATTGACCAAATCGAAATCGGGTACTATGAAATTTGGCGTATCATCGATGACCAACTCCTTGAAGCCACCCTTCATCGCGGAATCCTTATATTTCAACAGTAACGTCACCCATTGACCATCGAAATGCTCTTTCCTGAACCTCTTGGATTCGCTGAAGCCATTGATGCTCCACTCAACTACCACCTCATCGTGATAAATGAAGATCGTGAAATAATTCGATTGATGTTTGGCAAAGAGCGCCGTTCCCCAAGATCGTGTTCTGTACATGAGCTCAATTGTTTCCACGATGAAAGCCTTCTTTCTGTTCACTGGAACAGTCAATTCGTACATTAGCGGAGAGGTTTCTCCATCGAAGGTGACATTGGCCATGCACTGATGACGATCCTCCAGATTCTTGCAGATCGATCCGGGAGGGCACTTTTCCAATTGGCAGAACTCCAGGTCTTTGCAGTCCTTGCCCTTAAAACCTCTCGGACAATCGCAACTGTAAATATTATTAACAACGATATTAATCACATAAGATGATGAAATTTGAATATCTTACATATAATCGTTCCATGTGATTCTGCAAACACCGTTTCTATGACAAGGATTCACCTTACACGAATTATCAGATAACACACCTTCCAACACTGTTGTATTATCAAAGGAAACTTTACCGAAAGACATAGGAATACTCAATTCCTCGGCTTTAAGTGGGAAGAATTCCACCACCATGTCTTTAGAACCATCGCTGATCTATAAGCAAACGTATAAATTAATCAAAACTATTCATACACAAATTGAATGCAAAGTGACATACCTGAACATCTTGAATAATACCCTTGAAGTGTATTAAGCTCAACGGAGGTGTTTTTGAGGGAAGATCCGATCCAGAGGCGGCAGATACTTCAGCTTTAGCGACATTGAGTAGCTCATTGCTAGTTTGTCTTACGGATCTCAGTTGAGGCTGTCCGCCCAAGAACAAGACCTGAGCGTCCAAAGTGCCGGTAGCGGAAATGGTCTTGCGGAAATACTCGGTTCCATTCAATTTTACTTGTACTAATGTCACGTTCCTGATGACTTCGATCAAATGGTTATAACCATTGTTCAATTTGACACCACCCACGGTATATCCTTCAAATGTACCATTGAATTGAATCCTCACCAACAACTCGCCGCCCTCCAATTGAGCTGCGATATAACTTTCGTTTTGCAAGTTGGCCGATGCCAAAGCTGAACCCATGTAAAAGATCTGTCCCAAAGATTGACGAGTTCTTATGAACATGCTGATGTCCACGATTGAACGAACCGCCCTTCGCGCTGCATCAGTTACAGCTACAGTTACAAGAGAATCTGTAATGTTCTCGTAACCAAAAGTGGCAGCAGTATAGTTGTATTGACAAGTGTAGCCTAGATAAGGTCTTTCGCAAGCGCAGCTGAAGTTGCTCCACAAGTCAGTGCAGTGACCTCCAGAGTGGCAAGGGTTTGGCTCACATTGTGCTTCTCTGTGGCACCCAACGCCGACAGCTTGGAAGCTCACCCAAGACGAGTTCTCCGTCTCCGGAAGCACCCATTCTCCATTAACGATTACATCTTCGACGCAACCAACGAGGAACGGTTGACCATGAGTTAATTTTCTGTGATTATTCGGATAGCCTCCAATGTAGGTTGTAGGAAAACTGGTGGACGATCCGTTATTATCGTTGTAGTTAATGGGATAAATGGTTTGTTCGTCGTTGGCAGATAAAACAAGATGAGAAGAGTTAATAGCAACGAAAACCCTTTGCCAGTTGCTATCATTCAAATTGGAGCCAACGAAAACTCCGTCCCATTTATTCAGCAAACTCGAGTGCAAATTCAACCTTCCCTTAGCCAAAGACAGAATGTAATAGGTAGAGCCTTTACCTAAAGCCAAGAAACCATCGCTAAGAGTGGTCTTGAACCTAAACTGAATATCGTGCCCTTCGTCCCTCGTCGTATTCACTATGATCAAGGAATCCCCCTTCAAACTCATCGTAGTTACCTTCTCGCACGTATGACCGTGGAAACCATGAGGACACGTGCAATTGAACCTGTGCACCGTTTCGTTGTGCAAATACGGTTTGCAGCTTCCGTTGTTCTCACACGGATTATTGATGCATCCGGTCAACTCGACCGAGCAATTCTTACCGCCGTACTCCGGCTCGCAATCGCAATAATAATTTGCCTTCTTGTCCTCGCAGACTCCGTGCACGCAGGGCTTGAACTTCTCGCACTCGTCAATCTCGTATTGGCACTGATCACCTTCGTACCCTTCGTCGCACTCGCAAACATAATATCCAATCTTATCCAAGCAAGTGCCCGTCACGCAAGGCGAACTCAGGCATTCGTTTATGTTCGTCTCGCAGTTGGCTCCCGTCATACCGAAGGCGCAAATACAATAGTATCTGCAACGTGAAAAATCAAGATTAGCTCATCCAATTTCACAAGTTGCAATTCAAATTACTCACCCAGCCGCATCCGAATAGTCGAAGTCGCGCCTGAAGATCGGTGGTAAAGTGTTGTCGTGCTTGGCGAGGGCGTAAAGTGTAGCGTTGCTCTTCTCCAGACAAGTACCATCGTTCTGGCAGGGATTGCTTTCGCACTCGTTTATATCCACGTCGCAATTCTTACCCGCATATCCGTCTCCGCAGATGCACTTGTAATCCTTAACGCCGTCTTCGCAAGTTGCTCCATTCATGCAGGGGTTGTCTATGCAATCGTCTATGTTGATCTCGCAATGCATTCCCATGTAACCGGTGTTGTTGCATTCACAAGTATACGAATTAAGCCCATCAATGCAAATAGCATTATTCATACAAGGCGTAGACTAAATAAAAGAAATGTTTCATTATTTTAAGCTCCTATTTTCTGATATATACATTAATATATACTGATAAACTTACCATACAATCGTCGATATTTATTTTGCATTGTTTTCCAGTCATACCTGGCTGGCAAATACAGGAATACTCGTTGATTCCATCGATGCAAGTGGATCCCACCTCGCAAGGATTAGATTCGCATTCGTCTATGTTCACGTCGCAATCTTTGCCTATTAATTAATAAAAATGATAATGATAACCATGCGATTTTAAGAACAAGTTTTTATAAAATACATACCACTATAGCCATGAGGACAAACGCATTCATAATTGTTGATTTTGTTGACGCAAGCGGCTTCGTTACGGCAGGGTTGGGAAAGGCACTCATCAAAGTCCAAGTCGCATCTTTCACCAGAATATCCAGGTTTGCAGTAGCATTCGAATCCGCCCTCGGTATTAACGCAAATTCCGTTGTTGCAAATAGCCTCAGACGTTTCGCATTCGTTTACATCAACAGTGCATTGGAAACCTAAACATAAAAATCAATACATTAAGAATAATTACAAAACATATTAAAAGTTGAGTATTACCTTTGTAATTGGGTGGACATTGGCACGTGTAGTTATGTCCGTTCTTCGCCAACGCACAAATCCCCTCGTTCTGACAAGGATTCTTAAGACACGGGTCGATATCCAAATTGCAGGACTCTCCTCCGTATCCAGGAGGACATTGGCACTCATAGGTTCCTACCAGATCCACGCAGACTTTACCGGCAGGGCAGGAAACTCCCAAGCAATCATTAATATTTATTTCGCATTTAGATCCTTCGTATCCTGAAAACCAATAACGTTGTTCAAAAGGTCTTCAACTTTTGGGGATGAATTATTACCATTCAGACATTTGCAGGTATAGTCGTGCATGTTGGATGAAACCAAGCAAGTACCATTGTGATGGCACGGCTTCAAATCGCAGGCATTGTACAGTCTTTCGCACGTCGGTCCCATCCATTGATCGGTACAATTGCAAGTAAATCCATTCAAATTGTCGATGCAGGTACCTCCATTCTGACAGGGCATCTTAGCGCAATCGTCGATGTTAATATGACACCTTTCGCCTGAAGAAATCGGAACGAGTGTTACAACAATGTCGAGAGGAATAAAAAAAAAACAGTGAAACTGAGAATGTACTAAATAAATATTAGTCGGTTAGTCAAATAGAAATGATCAATTAGTGGTGTTAGAAAAGCAAAAGCTGTGTGTGTGTTTGGTGTATGTGATCATAGTGTAAACGCTGAAAACTAAAATTCAATTGAAACTCTCTTATTATAAAGAAATACCTTCGTATCCTGGCGTGCATTTGCACTTGAACTTATCTATCAAATCGATGCAGGTTGCACCGTTCCTGCACGGATCTTCTGAGCATTCGTCTATGTTGATATCGCAATTGTACCCAGTCCATCCCGGTCGACAATTGCAATAATATCCGCCGTGCTACAAACATAAGTCAAACTCATCAATAAACATTTCCCTCCTGGTTATATATATGTTGATTTTAAGCATATTTATCGGACAAACAAGAACGACTACAATGAATGAACGACAACTAAACAACAATTGTTCAATTAGGTTATATGTTTTTACAAAAGACTTTTCCAATAAACCTTTCGCAACATTTTCATTTTAAATGCAGAAGCGTTGCCATCTCATCTTTCATGCAAGCTCTATGGTATTGCTATATTTGAATAATGGCGAAAGGATTAAAGTACGAGTTCTAGTGTATCGAAATCAATTCGTACTTACATAATCGATGCAATGAATGGCATGCTTACAGAGTCGATCGCTACAATTAGCGTTTCTCTCGCAATAAGTGCCCTTAAAACTTCTTGGACAACGGCACCGCGGGAATTCCGAATCTTCGATGCACATACCTCCGTTCTGGCAGAAATGGTCCTCCGTTTCGTTGCAGCTAGTTATCTTACGTTCGCATGCAGACCCTAACATTTTGGTGAATGTGCAGAAAGAGAAGGTGCAAAGCAAAACACGTTAAAGCAAAAGATAAAAACAGAACAGACGAATAAACGACAAAGAACAAACATGCAAAAGTAAGTAACATAGACCTAGTCCCATACCTGTGAAGCCTAGAAGGCAGGTGCAGTTATAGGTACCCATCCACTGAGAGCACTTCCCGCTATTCAGACAGGGATTGCTTAAGCATGGGTGTTGCGGTACTGGGATACAATTTGGAAAAGCTGAAGGAAACAGACAGAAGAAGAACATGGTGAGATTTGCTAATTATCGAAGAGGAAGATCACATACCTGCATACTCCGGTTTGCAAACGCACTTGGGAACGCCGAAGACCTCTTTGCAGTCCTCGTAAGGCGAACAATGGCTGGTATCGCACAATCCCTTCCTCAGTTCGTACTCGCAGAATTGACCACCGAAACCTATCTTGCAGTGGCACTCGAAGCTGCCATCTTTATCCTCGCACTGGCCTTGGTTGAGGCAAGGATAGGAGCTACACTCGTTCATCTTCTACAAGTTAAAAATAAATAAATATTAGCAATTCATCATATCAATTGAAAACGGCTTATAGACGTACCACTTCGCAATTATCCCCATCGTATCCAGGGATGCATTCGCACAAATACCCTCCATAGGTATCGTAGCAGATGCCTTTGTTCTGACACGGCTTCGAATCGCACTCGTTGATATTATCCTCGCAGTTCAACCCCGTATATCCAGTTCGTGAACAGTCGCACGTGTAGTTGTTCGATCCGTCCTTGCATAATCCGTTGTTCTTGCACGGATTCGGCTGGCACTCGTTCACGTTGTTTTCGCAATACTTTCCGGAAAATCCGGCCGGACATTTACACTCCACTTGGTCCACATTAACCTGGCAATTTCCGCCGTTCTGGCACGGATTCATCGCGCACAACGGATGCGTTTTCACCTCTGTTTCGCAATGTTTTCCTGCAATTGATCAATGATAATTCCATTCACATTCATTAATTTAAAATAAATATTATACCTGTGAATCCTGTAAAGCAATTGCATCTGTAATATCCTGAAGGATCATCGATGCAAGTGCCGTTTCTGCAAATCGACGGTACCCTGTCGCAAGGATTTCCCGTATCGAATTCGCAATTCTTGCCGGTGTATCGAGGCGAGCAAATGCACGAGTATGTGTTCTCCTCGTTCTTGCAAGCTCCGTGCATCATGCAAGGTTCAGTCTTGCAAAAATCAAATGATCTCTGCTGCATCTGATCCACCAAAGTCACGGTGCATGTTTCATAAGGAATCGGGCACTTGGTGAACAGCACATTGTGCGGTTGCACTATGGTTTTGTTGAAAGGTATCGAAGGACCTTCCATGATGCAACCGTTATAATGTTTACCGACAATGAGAACTGCGCCTTCGTTGTACAATCCGGGGCTGTTCAGAAGCTCAGGCCTGAAAGACGCGTTTGCCAAGAGCACCACGATTTTATTGTCCACGGTCATCGTGAGGTTACCAAGTCGGTACATGATGTTGACGACGTGCCATGCATTATTCAAGTAATCCCCAGGGATGAGCTTCTCGTACTGCACGGTGGAGGTCTTCCCCATGAACCGGATGCCCTCGCTGTTCACGCTCACCTCAACTACATTCTCGTTGAGCTGCTGCGAGATAAGTTCTCCGCCCATGCATGTCCTGAAACTGAATCCGGTCTGCCTCTTCAACGACATCGTCGTCTGCAGTCGCATGTAAGATGATCCATTGAAGTAAGCTTCCGGTTGATCCGAAGGACCAAAGTGCTGTCCATCCAGAGGCCTTGTCGCAATCACTGCAACAGAAGAATAACATTACGTTAAACATATGCAGATGGGAAAAAAAAACGAGAAACCATTGTTTGGTGATTAGTTCTTCGTGTACGAAATTGAGTATACAACAATACTACAGTTCTCACGATTACGAAATCGCCGACTGTGAATATTCTTTTGCTAAGACATGCAATTATTTGGACCGAACTTCCTTTTGCTATTTTTAAAGCCATTGACATCCAGTTGCGTGCACGACATACAGCAGCATTTAAAAATTGATTAAGTTAACTGTATGTTTGTGTATGAAGCATTCGTTGGAAAAGTATTAAATACCGATAATAACTTTATAAACTATGAAAATTTAGATAATTAAAGAAATGTTAATTAAACAAACGTTAATCTCTAATATGACTATTTCAAGTTGATTATAGTATTACTAATTTGTGATATGAATAAGTAGATCAAGAAATGAATTGATTTGGAGGATTAGAAATGACTGATTCGTTTTTTTTTTAAGCTTGGAATGTGTGTTACTGAACTACAACCACAAGCAAATAAGAAGAAAGGAAAGAAACGAAATAGAAGGAAGCCAAGAGAGTTATAAGAAAGCAATTTGCAATTTCACGATTCGCGTCCGAAAAAGAGGGCACCGATGGCACTTGCGGTTCTTGTGATTTGCGAGCGATCCTCTCCCATTCTTCCAACCAGAGTCATTGCTCTTGTAATTGAATATGGCTAATTAGTTATCGATTCTATGCGATGGCAAGGATTATGAAACGAACCGCGGCCGTTTAACTGTAAGCGAGAGAACGGCGAGCCGACCTAACGGAACGTTATCAAATGTGCGCCGCCGTGTACGAATAATCCACCTCGAAGATCGGCCAACTCGAGACAGACTTCTTCATTGTTATTATTGTTGTTGTTGTTATTGATGCCCTGCTTTTCGAAATCGGCATTTTCGGAATCCGCTAATTGTTCATGCACACAATAGCGCCAATGGCGTTTTCTCCCGTTTGCGACATTGAAGTCTCTTCGCAGTGGCAAAAGAAATATAAAGAACAAGGCGATTGTTCTTGTCCCACACTTTCCGTTGCTCAAGAAGGTATGACTAATTCATACGCGGTCGGACGAACGGAAGTCAACAACCAACCAACCCCCAACAGACCGTGTTTCCCCCCATCGTATTCTTCTCATCCTCAAAAGCACAAGACAACAATGGAATTAAAAAGAAGCGGAAAGAAACTCTGTGCAAGCCACATTTAGCAAATAGCATTACGTTATGTCACTCCGTGACTCATACAGCATGTTCGGAATCCAACACTAATTGGCGAGATCAATAAATCTGTAAGATCACGAAAAAAAAACAAAACAAGAAGTCATAAACATAATTCTCATTGCGCTGTTTTTCAATTTTGCTTCTACCGATCGAATCGATTTGTTGTTTCGCAACGTAATTCAATTACATAATGAAATAACAATAGGTACTAGTCCCAAACCGATTCGGAGTGGGCGGCGAAAGACGTGGACCAGACGCCCACTTAAATGCAGGTTCTCAAATTTCGACGCTCCAAACATATATCAAATGCAGACGACACTTCTGTTTTCCATCTCCGAAGTATCTCTTCAACCACTCGAGAAGAACCAACCAACAACCCTCGATGGTTATTTACAAAGAAAAAATTCAAAGAATCATTATCCACTCATTTTCCCGTCACCCAGAAGAACACTTTCTCGGTTCATCCAAAGTCGTAAACTTTCGGTATTCTTTGTTTGCGGAAATTATTAGCCCAGTCGTAAAAGTATCCGTTCCAAGAAAGAAAACCCGTTATTGCAATTTAAACTCAAATATAAATCTAAGTGCAAATAAGTAGTGAATGAGTCGCATCTCCTAATGGATAAAATATAATGTGTTTCCTTTTAGATGTTATTTATAACATCCAATCTCATAAATAAATCTATTACTTGAAACTAAACTATTTAACTATTTTTTAACATATCCTAAAATTATCTGTTTACAAGTACAATTAATATATCGATCACAGATCCTGTCTGAATACTTAATTTTCGAAAAAGCTTTTACTCAACTATTCTTCTATTCGTTCAATAAATATTATAAATTTCAATGCCGAATTGTCCATTGTTTAAGTAAGCTTAAAACGTTGAGCAATTTCAGTGTTATTATCAATAAGATATTCAGATTTCTTTCTCAATCGATCTTGGATATTGCCTTTTGTATGCAGGATGGAATACAAATTCGGCGAAACCTTGAAAACGAAAAAGTTTTGCAAAGCGCATTTTATCACAATCGATGCATTTAAGACATCCGCCATTATTTTTGGATCAAGGTCTCTTTGCAGGGAATGTAGTTGAATATTAACATTGGTGTTCTTGGAATGATAATGTCTCAAGAGAGGTATTGAAAATCAATATCAAATAATGTCTTCAACAATTATTTTATAAATCAATTTCTTAACTTTTTAAAGTTATTTTTAACACAGAAAGAAAACATATTATAGAAACAGCTGTAATACGTTCTTCCATTAAAATCCCATCTTTCATTACTTAGAAAAATAAGACGTAATTGAATTCTATGTACATTAATAAATTAGCTTTAAAAAAAAGTTTCACTTCTGAAGACATATGGTTACGTGCCAACTGTCAAAACCAGATGCAATATTGATTTATATTATATTTAAAGGTCAATAAATCAAGATTTTCTTTAATTTTCCTAAATTGTATTTTTGTTCATTAATTTAATTAACTATCATTTAATTTAAAAGTGAGTTATTATGTATGTAAAATGATGTTTGTTCAAGTGAAACTTCACTAGAAATCAATCATTAAAAAAAAGGTGTAAGCTGCCATTATGTATATCTGCAGACATTAAGTTTTATTGCTTTGCGCTGAATCCTTCCAAGTAAAATAAACTAAATGATTGTACTCGCAGTGAAGAGTACTTGGACAATGATTTAATTGTGACTGCAGTAAATCCATGTTTAATTGCTAAACAGTAGAAATGACTCAATCAATTTGCTGAACGCACATCTATCTCCCAATTAAATCGAAGAACTGTAATCGCGATAAATCACTGAATTATATCGTCGTCCTTAATAAGATGTGCCTCGTTTACTCGATTTGCTTCTCCTTATTTTTTATTTTCTACCTGCAATTATCGGCTGAGGACGTAAAAAGCGTAAACGTTAACTAACGAAGTCTAAAAAGGCCAGACGATTAAGAGCCTATGCTGTTTGATCGAATCAAACGGGTTGCTGCTAATGACAATCCACGGACAGTTTGATGCCAGATGCGCGCCTCTCCGCTAATTGAATTAATCGCCCAGCAACTGCAAACTAATCAAAGAGAGAAGGAAAAAAAAAATATAGAAGCGGAAAGAAGATCAACCGAAACTGTTTGCTTTTCATTTTGACCCGTTTTCGCGTTCGCGCTTTTTTTTTCGCTCCTCTCTGCTTATCTAGGTAATTAACTAAATTAGGACAGCAGAAACCTATGAATATTCATATT